CCCCCCCAGTTTTTGGGTCCTCCCCAGTTTTTGGGGTCCCCCCCAGTTTTGGGGTCCCACCTGTCCGTCCACGCTCTCGGTGGCCATGCAGAGCCCCCGTCCGTCCCCCCCCCCTCTCGACCTTGGGGGCCTCCATGCGACAGGAGCAGAGCGGCAGCTCCTCGAAGCGCTCGGCCTCGGGGGGCCCTGGCGGGGAAAAAAGGGGGCGGGACCAGTGAGGGGGGCGTGGCCTGGTTGAGAAGGTGTGGCCTAACTGAGGGGGTGTGGCCTGGGGTGAAGGGGCGGGGCCTAGGAACAGGGGTGTGGCCTCAGAAGGGCAAGGTTGGGGGTACCCATGGGGAAAGGGGTGTGGCCTTGGAGGGGGTGTGGCCTAAGGGAAAGGAGGTGGGCTCAGTTTGGGGGTGTGGTCTTGGAGTGGGTGTGGCCTAAGCGGAGGGGTGTGGCCTTGGAGTGGGTGTGGCCTAAGAGGAGGGGTGTGGCCTTGGAGGGGGGGTGGGCTCCATTTGGGGGTGTGGCCCAAAGGAAGAGGGTGGTCTAATTTTGGGGGTGTGGCCTTAAGAAAGGTGGGTGAACTCAGTTTGGGGGTGTGGCCTAAGAGAAGGGGGTGGGCCTAGTTTGGGGGTGTGGCCTAAGGGAAGGGGGTGGTCTCAGTTTGGGGGTGTGACCTTAGAGTGGGCGTGGCCTAAGGGAAGGAGGAGCCCCAAAGAGAAGGGGCGTGACCAGAAACCCAAGATGGGGCGGGGCCACAAGTGGGTGTGACCAGAGAGGCGGGGCCATTGCCAGGTGTTTGGGGCGTGGCCTAACCATAGTGGGCGTGGCCTGACGGACACAGGGAGCGTGGGAGGGGCTCCACAGGTGGGGGTGTGGTCAATTGAGGGGGCGTGGCCTCACCTGTGGGCTGGGGGGACAAGGCCCCGCCCCCCGGGATCTGGAGACAGCCCAGGGGCACCTCGGTGTATTCGCTGGGGGGGCCCACGGGGGCGGCCCCGGGCACTGGGGGGGGCAAATGAGGGGCTGGGGGGGGGCCAAGAGGGGGGGGCACGAAACCCCCCCCCAGCCCCCAAATCCACCCCCTCCCCTCCCACGTTCGGTCCAAGCCCCTCCCACCCCAAATTTATGAGTTTTGAGGCTCCCCCCTCCCCAAATTATGAATTTCGTGTCTTCCCCCTCCCAAAATTTATAAGTTTTCAGACTCCTCCCTCCCCAAATTTATGAGTTTCAAGGCTCCCCCCTCCCAAAATTATGAGTTTCAAGCTCTCCCCAAACCCCCAAACTGAGACTGCCCCCTTCCCTTAGGCCACACCCACTGTAGGCCACACCCCCAAATGGAACCCACACCGACTTCAAGGCCACATCTCTCCTCTTAGGTCACACCCACTCCAAGGCCACACCCCCAAACTGAACCCACCTCCCTTCCCTTTGGCCACACCCCCCAAGGCCACACCCCTTTCCCCATGAGGACCCCCAGCCTTGCTCTTCTGAGTCCACACCCCCTCTCCTAAGCCCCGCCCCTTCACCCCAGGCCACACCCCCTCAGTTAGGCCACACCTTCTCAGCCAGGCCACGCCCCCCTCACTGGTCCCGCCCCCTTTTTTCCCCCCCAGGCCCCCCCGAGGCCGAGCGCTTCGAGGAGCTGCCGCTCTGCTCCTGTCGCATGGAGGCCCCAAAGGTCGAGAGGGGGGGGGGACGGACGGGGGCTCTGCATGGCCACCGAGAGCGTCGATGGGCAGGTGGGACCCCA